GGGTTGGGTAGCTTAAACAACAGAAACTTCATTCCTCACAGTGCTGGAGTCTAAGATCAAGGTGTCAGTATATTTGGTTTCTTCTGAAGCAAGAAGATGGCCTTAGCTTATAGACAGCTTACCTTCTTGCTGTCTCCTCACATGGTCGGTCTGTGTGCATGTGAACCCCTGGTGTCCATCTATCCAAATTTCCTCCTCTTATAAGGATACAATTCACACTGGATTAGGGCCTACCCTAAGGGACTCGTTGTACATAATCACCTCTTTAAACACCTATTTTCGCATTCAATCACAATCTGAGATACTAAAGATTAAGGCTTCCAAATATGAAGGGCTTAGACACAGGCGAAGAGAATTCAGCTCCTACAAGAATACATTTTTGTGCCCTTTACTGATAATTCAGTTAAAGCAATACCTTATGTGGTTGACATCTATCAATTATTTTATTATAAATGCCCCCCCACCATGAGCTTTCAAATGATTTCACTATATTGGCAGAAAGGTACACAAATGAGTATTTTCATAAAACTCTAATATCCTACAGTTAATTTGAAATGCCAGATGAATGATTTATCTCACAAAATTAAGAGGCCCCAACCTATGACCTAACATAATGTTATTTATGTTATTAAGTCTGCCACACAATGAATATTTTTATGTACTTAAAGTACATACTTAATGTCTAAAATGCAATTGAATTAACAACTAATCCTGAATATTCAAAATATATACATCAAACTAATAAATTTTAATTGGCATTTTTAGAAGTGTAGAGTATAAGAAGGTTAATGGGAGCCTTTGAAAATGCTTTCTGCTTGTTAGAGCACATGAATTTGAAATTTTAAACACTATACATTTCCAGGTGGCAGCCACCTGGAAATGAAGTGTTCTAAGTGCTCACAGTAGGTGAATAAAAGATAAACATTTGGTATTTAGTAAGCCATTTATCATAAAATGTTGATAAGTCATGTGGCACTGGAATTGGAGACGTATTTGAGTAGACAAATATTTGGGTCAGACCAAGGAGTTACTAGCCAAAAGCAAACAAACAGTCTTAAAAGCAGAGATGTCAATAAAAGGGAGAGGACAAATATCAAATGTAAGATATCAAAGAATGCTCCCAAAAGCTAAACATGTGGAAATGGAAAAAAGTGAAAAAACATTAGAAATGGGGAATCATTAAATCCACTCTGACAATACACCGAAGGCGGCCCATTCTCTAGAAGCTAATTCCATCTACAGTAATTCCAGGAATACTCTCTAATCTAGACTCTGAGTTCTTAGATAGTGATCTAAGATTTTCTGGAAAACATATGAATTGATCCTTGAAGAAAGACTAGAGCCCACTGAAACTTAGGTGACGCTCCCCAGAACAACCAAGAAAAAAGCACCAAAGGGAAGATGACATTTACTCTTAAGCTGCTCTATTAGGGAGGGGATGAGGCAACATTCTAGGCCACAGCCGCCGTTTCCCATAGATTTAACTTAGAATCTACCACACGGCTTGCAGTTGATGTGAATGAAGGCTGTAAAGAGACGAGGCGAATGAAAAGAGGGAAACCAAAGAAAGGGTGCTAGGAAGGATTTTCTCAAGTAAATAAAGTTTGGGGAGGAGAGGTAACGGGTGTAGGAATGAGAAGCACATTTTATGGGCCTATTGTGATCTATGCGTGTGGTGTGGCTCAAGATGGCAAATATGCTGTTGGATATGCAAGCATGGAGCTTAGACGGGACGACTGGGGGTACAGGTCTGTAAGTCATTAATGAAATGATGGTATGTAAGCCTTTGGAAGCTGAAGAGATCACCTCAGGATTTATGGGAAGAAAGGAAAAGAAGGGCTCAGTATTAGGCTAATAACACAATAGCGTTAGTTATAGGCTTAGTTAGAGGCTTCATCGAAGAGGAGGAAGAAGTAAAGGACCCGGAGAATGTAAAAGGAGCCAGATAGGACAAGAGCTAGATGCCAGTGAGGTCACCTATGTTACCACCAAGACAAGGGCACAGTTTCTGACACTGAGTAATCACACAACACCTGATTATCAAATGAAGAAGTGAGTTCTAGACTGGACTTGCACGGCATTCCTAGAATATAGACTCTCTAGGGAAGAAGAGAAATATATGGCAGAGATACTTGAACCCTAAAACAGACAGGGCTGAACAAGGTGACACTGTAAACTTGCCTCGATTTTACTTTAATACACTCTCCAAATTCCCCAAGTTTTGTCATATTTTCTACTCATTAATAAAATACCATTCCAGGTTAATCATGAAGCTGGTTATTGTGAAATAATCAATAAAACCTTCACAGATTGGAGTCCATTAACTTCAGCTGTTTAGACAAGAGAACGATGTATTCAACCCTTCAAAGACCGGGAAAAGGAAAAAAAAAAAAAAAAAAGAAATATTGCAATGGTATATAGAAATACAATAATGACCCAAAATATTTTCATTGAAATAAAACAGAAAAGCTATAAGCCATTATCTCTTAGAAAAGAAACAGCCCTAATGAAGTAGATTTTTGAAAACTGTCATACGGGTAAGCTCATTAGTTGCAATGAAAGATCCCCCTGCTGATCCATGAGGACTTAATGGCCAGGATTTTGTTATGTCTCAAAAACAAAGGTACTTTTTAATTCATGTGATAGCTCACTGAGGAGACTTCAAATATGGAAACTTTTAAATGATGATATGTAATGTAAAAGCACTGAAATTTTCCAAAGCAAACATAGACTTACCTCATCCAAAACTATTACATTCATTCCTCTAAAATCTCATTCATTAATAGGGTAATATTATCACACGAAGAAATTATGCTCTACAATCACCTACACTATGTAAAAAAAAAAATCTATATCATCTATATCTATATCTATATCTATCTATCTATCTCAGCGATGGCTTTTTCATTTCAAATATCTTTGGCTGCTCCCAGTGTAACACATTCATGCTATCTGCTGACCTATACACATATGCATGCCTCCGCTATAACAGATGGAAATGAAAAATCTCGAAGCCCTAGAATGCCCTGGTAGAGACATTAAAAAAGAAAACAAACATAAGTATCTAATTATCAAGCTACAACTCTACAAGCCCTTATCAAAGTTAGTTTTCAAAAGCAAAATAATAAAATATTCATACAGACTTTTAAGTACAATCAAATGAGTCAAAATAGATAAATGATATTTTTAAAACTTAATTTAGAGCACCACGGCTGGAAAATAAATTCTATACTAACACATACATCTGAAAGAGAAGTATGTTCCAGCTCACCGTTCAGCTTTAGAAAAAGGAGAAAAAGATGGTGACGTGGTCAGGGATGCAAACTGTTATTAACATAAAATGCTTGCATGGATTTAATTCTTCCCAAAGACATAATGTTGATATAAACTATTACTCTACTCAGCTATCTTTTCTCCAGAAAAAAAGCTTTCTCTATGTTTCAAGACTTTATGTACAACTTTTTCATCTATTATTCTTTTACTTATCATGCTTATCATTCATCAATTTCAATTTCCCCACTTTCAATTCTCTTTTGGCCCATATACTTAAATTTTATCCCCAAATTTCAGAAATCTCATTTTAGAGACGTTACCTTCCCTGAATTAATGAATCAATCACTCAAAAGCTGTTTTGAGTATTATTGCGTTATTTTAATGTTTTTTTTTCTTTTGCGCACTTTTGTCCTATCTCATTGTTTACTATAAAAAAAAATAACTTTATTTTCCCTTCCTAAATTCCATTAAAACACTTATACCCATATACGTGTGTGTGTGTGTGTGTGTGTGTACACACCCTTTCATACCATGTACACACACACACACACACACACACACACACACGGTCATTATCTTCTTATGTCAAGGACATTCTTGGGTAGCACAAGGGCAAAGTAATTCATTCCAACATCATTATAACATTAGCATTCAGGAGCAAAAAGTAAAGTAAAAAGCTTATTTTTGGTCTTAAAAATCCAGACTAATTATTTCTAACTCTCCCCTACCCTCCCTGCCACCTCAATATACTGGCTGTATGAGTTACATACTTCAAAGAAACATACATCTCAGGAAAAACTGTCAAAGAACATCTCATGTAATCACATTGCCACTCTGCAGATGGAGTGTTACAATCCTCATTTTATGGAAGAAACAAAGGGTGTAGAAAATGACAAAAGTAATTTTTTTAAGAAGGAGTAGTCACTAAAACGGGGGATGGTGGTAAATTATTCTTAAGTTGACAAGTTCTAATTTTAGGAAGACAATAAACAACAAACAACACAAAAATAGTCTGCCATTTCTAATGACCAGTTTTCAACCCAATGACAATACAGCTATCCCACCATTTCAAATGAGTTGTCTTCCAAGAAGTGTGTCGTCAGTACGCATATATTCATAGAAATGTGTATGCATAAATTGGTGGTTGGAGCAAGTAAAATTTTTACAGCAGAATAGGATATATAAATAAAAACTGGAATCTTCAAGTCATCAAAAATTGCATTTAAATCATACTATGACTACTAGTAACAGATCCTGTCCTATCCTAACCCTTTGCAACCTGATCTAAATCCAGTAGGGACAGAAGCAGATGAGGTATCTGGGCATTAGAAAGGACTGAAGGGAATTTCTAGCTGTTTGATCCCTACTAGGAAAAAGGATGCAGTCTCTACCTTCAGTGTGGGTAGACCCAGATTTAACTTAGGCTAACTAGGGACATTGATTACTGGGGCTTAGCCCAGACACAATGATCCTCCCCAAGTGAAGGATCCCAACTCAAGTGAGCATTACCATGGTTACGGAGGAGGCAGCTGAGCAGCAGAGGGAGGGGCTGGCAGGTAGTCATAAGGTTTAAACTATACAACTACCTATCTTTTTTATTTTTAAAAAACATATTTAAAACACAGAGGCAAAGTAACAAGTATGTTCAAACAAAAGGCATTATTTTCTGTCTTGACGAACTAACTAAAGACCCAGAGTTGTGAAATGTTTTCTGTGAAAGCACAAACCTTTACTGGCTTTGTCTAAATGTTCCAAATCATCCACAAAATTCAGGATATCAGGGTACTTTTCTTCACATACTTCCACCAGAAAATGAAGTAGTGTTGTTTTCTGATCTGCTGATTTTGTGTCTTTTAGCTAGACAGGACAAGAGGGAGAAAAAACAGTCAAAAATATTTTGGTAATCTGTCTACTTACCTAATGTTAATACTGTATTTTATAGGTAAGAAGTAAATGAATTGTAAAATTAGTCAATTCTACTTTTGAATTGCAAATGTTTATGTACTTGAAAAGCTACTCTATGGATTGTTGTTTGAAGTCATTAACATTTTTTGGAAAGAAAGTATAAGCTTAATCCAATCTATTATGCAACATTTTATGGGAAAAAATACATGATAAACACTTAGGAGAACAGAATAACCTGTAAGTCTATATAATAATAGTACTTAAAACAATCCCAGACATTTGTTCCTTTTTCAAATTAAAAAAAAAAAATTGGTACATATTTATGACATGCCTACTAGAGACACAACAACAAACAAGATACAGAGCTGTTCCTCAAGAAGCTGTTTAGTAGGGGGAAAAACACACACACACGCACACACACGCACATACACGTACATTTACCCTGGTGTGACAAACAGTATAATAGAAATAATCAAAAAGTACACCTCAGAGGACAGGACATCTGGAACACTGGTAGACAGGAAGTTGTATGGATTAGGGAAGGGAAAAAGAAAATTCAAAAGGGCCGTACCACGAGCAGATGGAGCAATATTTGAAAAATGCCACACTTGAGGAGGAAGAAGACACATTTGAGGAGCCTGAGTGACTCAGAAAAAGAAGTGTGTTGAGGAAGACAATAGAGAGAGTAGAAAGATACAAAGCTGGGAACATTGGAAAAGACCAGAAAACGGGATTTTGATCCCTAAGAATTGGGAATTTTTAAACTGGGTAAGAGATGATGAGACCTACAGTTTAGAAAAAGCTCCCTCTAGCACAGTGTGGATAAAAGACAAAAAACCAAGGGAAAGAACAGAAGCAGTGAAAAGTAACTTAAAAACCGGTAACAACAATCCAGGCAGGGAAAGACAAGGCCCTGAGTCAGGGCAGTGCCATGGGAATGGAGATAATGGGAGAGAGGGGCCATGGAGACCCAGGTGGTGCCATTAATTGAAGTAAACGGAAAGACAGAGGAACAGATTTGGGTGGAGTGCAGTGGGCAAAGAGATCAGTTTCAGTTCTGAACGAATTTGAAGCTTTTAAGTAACATCCAAGTAAAAATACCCACAAAGGATGTAGATTGATACAGGTGTAGAAAAATGTTTCTCAATCTTTCTCTTTCATTATTGCTGGCTAAAGAGCATTTTTAGGTTTTTTTCCCCCCAATCATGTGTACCTGTGAAATTTTAAAATCATAGGTATCCTGTGTATCTGTTCCTGTACTGTATGTTTATCTATGCTTTGCACATAAAAAATAGCAAGATACTTTTGCTTCTTAGAACCAATTTTCTATCCCCTGGGAAACTGTTGAGCATACCTGGCTAGAACTCAGAGGAGTATGATGACCTAGGCCCTCCAGACTGCGGAGCCTTTAGCCTCCAAAGTTCAAGAGTTGATCAAACGAACCCAAACAGGTACACAGGATGAAAGGAGATATATATTTATACACAAGTATATGATCTAGTTGTAATCCTAGTTCACAAGTTATTTTTTGCATGCTAAGTGCAGTTAGAATCTTTGTCTGTGGGGCGCCTGGGTGGCTCAGTGGGTTAAGCCTCTGCCTTCGGTTCAGGTCATGATCTCAGCGTCCTGGGATCGAGCCCCGCATCGGGCTCTCTGCTCAGCAGGGAGCCTGCTTCCCCCGCCCCCCACCGCCTGCCTCTCTGCCTACTTGTGATCTCTGTCTGTCAAGTAAATAAATAAAAATCTTAAAAAAAAAAAAAAAATCTTTGTCTGTTTTCACATATATTGAGACTGCTAATCTGATTAAGCTACCTTTTCAATCCATAATTTCCTTCACATTATCATCTTTAATGGATAAGGCGAGTAAAACTAGCAAACTTTCATAAATGTAGTCATTTTCTCTTGTATAACCCAGACGTACCATAAAAGCTGTCCTTTGGTTTTATTTTTTATTTTTTAAAGCACCCTAATAGTGAACTCTTCTATCCCCCCTACCCTCATGACAGCAATGACTGCCCAGGGAATAGCATCCCTTCTATGGACTCTCAGCTCCCAGCTGCCACTAATTACATCCCTTCTTCACCATGCTTCTTTCCTGTGAAACTAGATGTGCAGCTTGTATGGAATGTTGATTAGTCCAAGCACCATCTACCTCTGTAATTTGTAAAGCCTGGAAAGGGCTTTCCAGTACCATATATGATGCAACTAAATAGTCAGCAACTGCTAGGATTAATAGATCAAGAAATCCCTATGATCTAACAACCAACTAGATCAATCTTGATCTTTATTCATGAGCAATAAAAATTCAGAATTAAGAATTCTGGAATATAATATAGTTTATTGCATCTATCGATTTAGTCAATGTTAAGTATACAAGTCAAACAAAGATTCAAGTTATTCAGAGACCATCACAAAGCTAGACAGTAATTCGTGGAGGAGGGTGCTGGACTGGCTCTGTTACTGAAAACATCGCCTGGTTAGCAAGCTGAGTATTGGCAACAGTCTAATATTGAAAAAGTTTATCTACTGAATAGTAAATGGAATCAAAATTCTCCCATCCTTTCAGAATCTGTATTTAACTGTAAGACAAAAGAAAAATCAAATTTCCAAATAAATAAAATTGAAAGTAAACGTAATAAATGAGAAGTTCAAATAAGAAACAAAGATGGTAACCAATTGTTGATAACATAGTGTCTCATTCACAAACTGCTACTGGCTTTAAATTCCAGGGTGGAGAATCTTCATTCAGGTCCTAACATTCTCAGGAAAAAGCACACAAAGGTATTCTTCCTCCCCCAATTACTCTATTCCTCCCTTCCCCACCCCCGACAAGTCTCTTTATAAGAAAAATGAGAAAAGGTCACCTTCTAAAAGCATGAATGCACAATGGAATATTTATCAATGTCTTAATCTACTTGTTCAATTTTTTCCCAGTTTTTGATAAACATGTACAAAAAAAGGCGCATTCTATTTCCACTAATTACTCATATCATACATAATCAGAGACTGAGCTAGAAGAATAAGGAAAGCTTGGGGGATGGCTCTAATTTTGTTGAAGAGAAAGAACAGTTCACTTCAGTATACTTTGTAACACTAACTCTTGGAAAGAAAATGAAGCTAAAATATTTGCTTTAAAAATTCGTTTAGGTTTAAAAAATATGCTTTATTTAAATTTTAACAGACATTGCTTGACAGGCTTCCTTTTGTTTTATTGCCAAGAGATGTATCTTGTTGGTGAGTAATCATGGCTGTTAAGGAGAATTTCTTATTTGTATATTGTTTCTTTGAGGTACATTTAATGCAGCATGGATGTCAAATAAACAAAAAGATGGATGGAGTTTCTTCAACTGCTCTGTTCATTCCAGACAAAATAATGTTAAAAGAAGATCCTGTAATAAATCATGGCCTAGTTGTCACTCTGGAGTAGAATTCCTTTGTAGCTACAATGCAATATTTTGAAATATTTTTAAGCTATTCAGCACAAATTTGGATGACATCTAAAGAATATCCCATTGTTTTAATCACAAGGAAAATTCCTAAAATAAAAACTGAGTAAACTTTGGGTGATCCTCAGAATCCAAAGGCCCCTTACTCTAATGACACTTAAATCATAAGAACATTGTGAAATTGGCCACTCTGCTCCCATTATTGTGTTTCTATTATCTAAATATGTATTGAAACAGCACACTCTAGCTGTGGCAGACATTGCTGAACACAATAACATGACAAAATTATGAGAATATGTAGTTGCCCCATGAACATTCTAGAAGACCCTAACTTGTAAATGCCATTAATACCATTAATATTGATAATGATCAATATTAATAATCAAATTAATTTTAAATTATAAATATTAACAATAGTCAATATTAACACCACTATCACTAATACCACGACATTATTATAGCCGCAGCTCTTCTATGGCACTTATCCTGAGACCAGGGGTAGCCAAAAAAAGAGTATTTAGTGCTTAAAACACATAATATCTTTATGAGGAACTAGTGTTATACCCATAACTAAAGAGGATGAAAAAGATTTGAGAGATCATGCAGCATACTCCGCATCATATAGCTACTATCTGGTAAAACCAAGGTTTGAGGCCATGTCTGTGTGAATCCAAAGTTCATAACCACCTCAAAGTACAGTTCCTCTACAAAAATCTTGAGTTTCTTATGTGTCAAAGAAACAAATTTCTCAAAACCACAGTGGACAAAAATGGTAGTAAGACAACAAAAGAACATCAATGCAATTTAAAATACCGAAGCCCTATAACCTGCTACTTCTAGCCTGGAAAGCCTCTTAAAACTGACACCTTCTACCCTGAGGTCATCTCTAGTTCTGAGAGCATGACATTCTTTCTACTATTTTATCTATAAATTTAATAAAATGCCACCTGAATCTTAGCACTCAAACCACAAGTCTTTCAACATTGCTAGTAGATTAGTGCTGACAATATTATACGAATATGGTTAGATGAAAAGACAGCTGTTTAACCTTTAACAGACCTGAACAAGTATATGTACTAACATCATATTCCATCTTAAATCCTATGCAGATTAAAGTGATTTGTATGTACAAAATAGTATCTCTAAATTTAAGTTAAAGGTATTCATATAAAAATAGATGTGTTAACACATACTGTCAGAGAATATATATTTTCTCAGACAGAAGGTCAACATGCCAGTAAAAACTCACTAGTGAAAACCACAATTATACAATGAATAATGTTTTTGATATATGTAACCACATTAAGAAAATAATCAGCATCCAGATTAAATTTTTTAAAAAGATTGGTTCTCTCTACAATGGAAATAAAAATCATAATTTAAATAAGATGATTAGCATCATCTAAGTCACTGCCATAACTATTAATACTGATAATAAAATTTTCACAATGATTTTCAAAATAGATGGAGATCAATTGATATTAGGTAAAAAAAGTTACTAGACAA